CTGGTAGTGATATCACTATCTGTAAAAAATATATGCTTCCAGACCATATCTCTGTACATACTAAACCTCTACTACTTGAAACCTTTAATGGTCTCCGCACTATAAATGAATATTGATACGATCAATTAGTTATTCACTCCGCTCAAATTAAAATATCTAAATTATGGTGTCTATCTTACGATGACCTTGATTTAATTCTAGGAATTAATTTCTTTAAAACTTTCATGTCATTTATTCAATCTTCAAATGAAATCACCTTAGTTACCCCCACTCATCACCCACTCCTTGGTCCTTTAATCCGCACGCCCAAATTTCATGCTACCTCACCCGTTTTTCGTAGTCAGCGTGGTGATTCTACTTTGAATCAACTAATCAAAACTATTTTTCCTCATCCATTTACTCTTAACTCACATGCATATACGACGTTTTCTCCCGAACTTTCTAAACTTAAGGAACTTCGTGCTTTTGCATCCTCCTTATTTAACCCCTCATTTTCAGAAAATCACTTACAATTTTGGTCTGAAGACGAGTTTGTTGCAACTATTGAACCAATTAATCCTTCTCTTATTGTTAGGGTGTGCCCTATTAAATATACCTCTGAAGATAAAAAAGAATTTCGTACTAAAATTCAAGAATTACTAAACCTCAAATTAATCGAAGCAAGTACTAGCCACATGGTACCCCTATTTTTTTAGTAAGAAATCATGCTGAATAGATTTGAGGAAAAGCAAGGATGATAAATAAATATAAAAACTTAATGATAACACAAAATTTGATAGTTATTTCCTACCAGATAAAGAAGTTTCAATAAATCATATTAAAACTGTTAAATGGTTCTCTAAATTAGAGTGTAAATCTGACTTCTGACAAATTATGATGCACACAAATAGTAGAGAATTTATAACATTTAGTACACCTTAGGGTCACTACCAATGGAACGTTATGTCTTTTGAATTAAAAAATGTTCCACAAATATTTCAAAGGCATGTGGATACTATCTTTGTTGAATTATCCTACTTCTATCTTATCTATGTAGAAGATATTTTAATATTTAGCCAAATTATTACGCAACACTTAAAATATTTAGATTTATTTTCACAAAAAAACAAAAACATGGAATGACTCTAAGTACAAAGAAAGTCATTTTTGTGAACAATACTATTGAATTTTTAGGATTTATTATAGATAAAGGTGCAATCGAATAACAAGATTATATTTTAACAAAAATTGATTACTTTAAACATATTACTAATAAAAAAGATTTACAACAATTTTTAGGATGTATCAACTACGCTTACGTATTTATCAGAAATCTTGCAGTTACGAGCCACACTACAAAAGAAGTTACGTAAAAATATAATCTGGTCTTTGGATGAAAATGATCAAAAAATTTTACAACAGATTAAAGATCTATGTGAAAACCTACCAAACTTATATTTATCTATACCTGGTGATTATTTAATTATAGAAACTGACAGTTTCGAACTAGTATGGGGTGCAATTTTAAAAGCTCGACGTAATGCTATCGAACTCTTGTGCAGGTACAACTCAGGTACGTATACAACGACAGAACAAAATTATCATATTAATGAGAAAAAAATTATTAGCAATAAAAAAAATTATTAAAAAATTTGAAATATTTTTAAATGAAACATTTCTAATTATGACAAATAATAAAAAAACTATTTCATTTATTAAAAAAAATTGTAGATTCTTTACCTAATAAAAGTATAAGAAGATGAAAAAATTGATTTTCTGCATATAGCTTTGATATAAAATATATTGAGAGAAATTAATATGCTCTTACTAACACTTTAGCTTGTGAATTATCAAGAAATGAGTACAAGCACTGAAAATATGGAGATACATTATATAGCAGGCAATGCCGACGAAAAGTCTTTTTCGGGCTTGAACAATTATCTCGAAATGCTTGAATTACAAATATGAAAATTAGAATGTGAAATTGCTTACGTAATAACATTCTAAGAAAATTACTGAAAGTAAAGAATTATCTGAATGGAGAAATCCATGAAGAGAAATTACCCTCAATTAATGAATTGCAAAAATACGAGATTTTTCAAATTTCAAAATTACAAAAAAAAAAGGTATCTACTTCTTCAATTATTGAATTGCAAGACTTTACATATCTCAAAATTACAAAAGAAGTACACACTTCTTCAAATAAAATACTTTCTTATGCAAAAATATTGCAAAATGCATGAATTAACTCTGCAAAGAGTATTATAGAATTAGCCGATGAATTATAACAATTATTTCAACATGAGGAAAGAATTAATTCTCAAAATTATTTTCACACGGCCAGAAAATTCCAAGTCATTTATATATATGGAAATACAGATTATAAACTTATCTTTGAATTATATAATTGCGGCTTAGTACGCATGAAAATCTTCTAAGAGAATTACCAAAATCATTTATTGATGTCGTGGTAACATTCTACATGGTCGTCAAGCATTGGAATTTATATATGCAATTATATCAAGCTTATCCCAAAATACGAGAAGGAATTATCTCATTTATATTGTTTGGAATTAGCAGCGAATCAGATACTCCCACATATAGACCGACTGAAATATTATCCCAGAGACCTAAAGCAGATGATTTGTACCAAATATGGAATGAAACTAAAAAACTAGATCCAACAAATATTTGATTTTATCATTGCTCGGAGTAGTTATTCATATATAGTCATTGCAATTAGCCTACACGGAAGATAAATGAAGTTATGTACAAAAAAATGAATCTCCATTCTAAGCAAAAATACTGCGGCAGCAAGCAAAGAAGTAAATGAATTATTTTGCCAAAAATTACAAAACAAAAAAAATACATAAATGTATGTATTTCCAGAAACGGGATACTCTACAAAAAACACGAGACAAACTTAAAGTCAAAAAATAGTGGAATGTAAAGATAACAGTCGAAAAGCAAAATAATTATTAGAAAAGAAAGTTCCATACAAGCATTTACTCTCGACCAAGCTGTAAGACAAAATAATAATTAAAAAGGAATTTAACCGTACTGCAATAATTCTCCATCGACTCAACTATCGTCGACTTTATTCTCCACCATCTGAATTGTTGGCCACATAAGCAGAAGCTAACTATTAAAAATATCATTATCCATGATTACTACGGTGCCTTTCACAGCTTATATAATGCTCTCTTCTCTTAAATTGAGGGTAGAGCAAAAATTGTGAGTTCTCTTCTTCTTCCTTTTCTTTCTCCTCCCTTGCAAACAAAATATGTGTTAGCCATATAGGCTAATTAAAGTCTTCTCGCTCGGATGTCTGTAAGAATGTTATAAAGTATGTAAGGTTGTTATGGTTTATTCATATCGTTTGCTTATAATAATATTATATTATTTTGTTTCTACTTCTTCTAGCTACGCTTAGCGTAGGAAACGAATGAAATTTGTGTTTTTTGCATCTCTGAAGTAATTATATTGGGTTGTAGTCTATTGATGATCTGAGATTGATTATTTGTTGAGCCCTTATTTTCTCTAGAAAGTCACGGAGAAAAACATAATACGAACCGGAGATGTTTAGGTCAAACCCTAAAATAAGTAGAAACAATACAAATTAAGCAAGGATATATAAATGTTAGTTAAAGGGAGGTTTTAAGCTCAAATATCTTAGCATTCCCGAATAATCTCATGAGTATATACAAACTCTATAGACTTTTTCTGGACTGAATGAATTTCAAAACGTAGAGTTATAGCTCAGGCACGCTAAAAAACCAGGCTCAACTAGCATGACCCTTTCTATTCTCTATACTGCATCACTTGAAGGGTTGTTTAGCAACTTCTAGAATGTAAGTTATTAAGATTGAAATGGTTAACATAAAAATTATCATACAAAACTATTTGGTTGAAATAGTTTTATATGATTTAATTAAAAGTTACCAAATTTACTAAATCCTATAATTTTTTAATAGTTTTACCAAATAAATCCAATTAACTCATATAAAACTACTTGGAAACATTTGTCGGGATTTAAAAATTTGTTACATTGTTCAAATACAAAAAATATATTTAAACTTTGATTATTTATTACTACGATAGAAATTAATTATTAAATTAAATTAAATTCAATTTAAATTTTATTCCTAATGATGCTAATTAATAATTAAACTAATTAATTATTAATAAACACTTTATTAAACTAAATATTAATTAAGTAATAGTTTAACATTTAATAATTAATTAATTATTAATCATATTAATTAATAACTGCTTAGAATTTTATTAAGTAAATTAAAAATTAATATGTATTTTATTTTTATGAATTAACTATTAAATAATTATATATGACATTAACTCACAATAATTAATCTGACAATATTTTAATTAATTATTAATTATTAATCAATTAAATTTAAAACACAAACAAATCCATTCCTTCCCCTTCTCTGCTCGAAACCCTCACCTACATCACTCCCCATTCTCCGAATTTCGCCTAGAAAGACCCTTACCTCTATGCCCGAAACCCTCGCCTGCGTCCCTCCACTGACCAAACCCCTACAATACAGTAACGATAAGAGCTAGTTAAGAAGGCAATAACGGAATCACAGCGAAAGAAACCACCCAAACTCTCATCTTTCTCCTCCTTACGGTCCGATCCTACCCAAAACCATTGAGGAAGGTGAGCCTGTTCGCGCCTGTCTCTCTCTTCGCTTGTTCTCAGATTTACTAAATCCACAGAATAGCAGGATTTATTACATCCGGGATTTATGCTAAAAAATGGGTGAAATCCGGATTTAGTAAATCTGAGGATTTAACTTCTCGAAAATGCTTCACCATAAACCGCGAACTAAATCCATAAATGCAACCTGATAGTTCAAAATCCAAGCAACACTGAATTCAGCAAAAAAAAAAAAAAAGGTTTAGTTTAATTTCCAACAACTACAAGTTTATGTTCGATTCTCGAGGGACAGTGCAGAACAAACTGTATCTTAAGGTCTTCGATAGAATGAGGGTTTTACCTGTGAAATCCGAGCTTTGTAGCTTTCTCAAATGAAATTTTATCAGAGGAAGCGGACATCCAGGTAGACTCTCTGTAAACCCTAATCTCGAAATCGGATTCGGAGTGGATGACAGTGTATTGAGGGGATTCGATCCCGGTGACAACAGCGAGAAGATTGGCGAGGATGACGCAGGAGGCTGCGGCTGGAGACCCCATCATACTCATTCTCCTTTTCAGCGCTGCTTTCGATGAGAATAAAAAGGAGTAAATGTTCAAGGCTACGTGGCTCTTATCTCGCAAATAATAAATAAAATGGAAAATTTAAGTAAAGATAGCATCTAATTCTTATATATTTATTTATCTCACATTAAAATTTTCATTTTTTTTGTAAATTTAACATCAAATTCATACTTTTCAACTGTATGGAACAATAAAATCTATAATTTTCATGTTTAGGTTAAGATATTGTGTTCCTAAAAATATAATTTTTGGTATGAGATACCAAAATGTATAAGGATGGGATGCTACATTTATAAATTTTCGTAAGAATTATTGTATGCCTCCATATATGCTACAACAACTGTTTTATTTGGAAAATTTTTAAAGATCGGAATGAAAGTGGTGGTTTCAACAATTTGGCTGAACATCATGCCAAGCAATGTTATTAAAATGAGAAAAATAAAATAACAATTAAAAGATTGTAACAATTAATTGGGTATGGTGAGGACAATGCCTAACAATCTTATTAAGATGAAAAAAATTAATAATAGAAGTTTGTAACAGCTTTCACGAAAAAAAATTTAATACATCTAACAAACAAATTAAGTGTTTTATCCAGATTTATCCTGTGAGGCTTGCCCAAGTATTGGAGCGGTAGATACTTTTAGGTAGAGGTAGAGAGAATAGAGAGAGAGAGGAAGGGGAGAGTGCACACATAGACTTGCCTGGAATATTCCTAGTTTCTATGTTTCATTTTATATTTTATAACCATGAGTTTTAAGAGAGAAGAGGAAAGAGATCTCCCTACAGAATAGGTCTAGTGAAAAGAACATCAAGAAGTCAAAGCCTAGAGAGGCAAAAACCCCTAATACAAGCCATGGTCCCTTAGCTTATGGTACAAAGTGTAAAATTACATGCTCTCACCTAGTTTAATAAAGGTGTTATAGGATATTATTGTATTTTATTGTGTAGTTCCATATTTGTAACCGCTTTTGCAATTTTATGTATAGACTCGATTGGTCCTCAAACTTGGAAGTCGGCTGGCTATTTTGTCTGGACACCATTAGGCCTTAGCTCTGGGAAGTCGGTCGACTTTGAGTGTGGTACCTGTTCGGTCTTAGGACAATCGGTCAACTTGCTTGTTCCTCAGTGATCTTTGGAGATTTTTGGAACAGCTGTTGAGAGAGCCTCACATTGATACTTAAAAGGGGTAACAAACCTTTGTTCACTCAATGGTGTGAATGTTTGTTTTTAGTTGGCATAGATGGCCCTTTGATCATCAAACTAGCCTTCCGTCGATCAGCAATCCTTTGGTCGGTCGCTAGCACTTTGGTTGGTCGGTCAATGGTCGGCTAGTGGTCTTCAGCCGATCGAATTCATGATGCATTGTGACTTTTTCGTCTGTGATTTGGACTATCAATTATCTCAAGATTTGTACATATCATTTTTTGTTTTACATATTAAGTTCCTCAATTTTCTTACTCTTTGATAGTCATAGCTGAGATAAGGACAAGGAAATCTTTAGTGAAATGAATCGAATCTTAATAGTAATACTCTAAAAAAATGATTAAACTTCCTAGATTTTCATGCCATGAACCTTATAAATTGTGCATAGTAGACAATTCTCAATATCTCGAGTTTATTTATCCTTGCATTCGCTCAAATTCTATGATGCCCTTATGGGAAAGGATCTAATTCAGTGCTTAAACCTATCGATTTGGCGAAGATGCTAGCTACTTTTCGAGTAAAGAAACAACAACAGTTGAAATGCATGAAAAGGAATAAGATAGTTGCAAAGAAGCCAAAGCCATTCTAGTGAGTGGAGGTGGAGAAGTCTTAAGATTCAATCAAGGTGGTTACAGAGAAAGGCCAACCCAGTAGAGTGATAGAAACCTTGAGGGAGAGGTAGTAAGAGAAAGAGAGGGAGGAAAAGGGGAAAAGCACGCACAAACTTGCTCCATAGGGATGAACTGGATATATTATAATTGGGGATTTACAATAGTAAAGTTGTGAGAAATCTCCCTACTAAGTGGGTCAAGTGAGAAAGCCTAAAGGGGCTGAAGCCTATAAAGGAAAAAGCCCTTAATACATGTTGTGGTTCCTCTATTTATAAAAGATAGAGGGATAAAGTGGAAAAATTACATCCTTTCCTCTACTTTAAGAGGGGTGTTAGAGGGTATTATTGACTGTTATTGTATCTTTTGATATTATTAATTGTTTTGGCACCTTTTCATGTGGTCGTCTACGATCTTTGCTCTGAGAACTCGATCGACTATTTTTTCTAGGCACAGGTTGGTCTTTGTTCTAGAAAGTTAGTCAGCTTTAAGTGTAGTAGCAAGTTGAGCTTAAGGTGGTCGATCAACTTGCCTGTTCCTTGGCGATCTTTAAGATTTTTGGGGGAGTTATTGAAAAAGCCTCACATTGATAATTGTGAGATTGTTGGGGATACCAGACCTTTGTTCGATCGTTGGTATGAATGTATGTTTCTAATCAGCCAAGGTGGCCCTTTGGTCACCAGACTGACCTTCAGTTGATAGACAATCCTTCACTCTATGACCAGCCCTTTGGTCGGTTGTCCATCGGTCAACTGGTGTTCTTCAGTCGTTCGAATTCATGATGCCTTGTAACTTTTTAATCAGTGATCTAGATAGTTAGATTGTCTTGAGATTCTTACAGACTATTTTTGGTTTACATATTAAGTTCTCAAATTTTCATAATTCTTAATAATGAAAATTGCAATAAGGACGAGGAAATTTTTAATGCAATAAATCAAATCGTAATATTTATAATTTAATGTAATGATTAGACTCCCTAGATTTTCTTGCCAATGAACCTTATATTTAATATGTAGTGGATAGTTTCCAATATTTTAAGTATGTTTCTCCCGCACCTGCTTGGCTTTTATGTTGTCCTTATGAAGAAAGGATATGATTTGATGCTTAAACTTGTTGATGGAGCAAACTTATCAGCTGCCTTTAGGGTAAAGAAATAGTGTCAGCTTGAAGGCAAGCCAAGGAAAAAGAAGGTTGCTAACAGTCCAAAGCAATCCAAGTGAGTGGAGGCGGAGGAGTCATCAAATTCAATCCAGAAGGCTTTAGAGAATGATCAACCTAGCATTGGGAAGGAGTTGGGTAGTTTGGTATCTGGCTTATCAACAAAAGCTCCTACTAAGGTTTTTAGTCGGTCTGAGATTGTGATCATCCTCAACCAACTAGTATATCAGGAATTGGTATGGGTGATCAACCGATTAGAGAGAAAATACAGCTTATGAATTTTCATCGTTAGATGTAGGTGGAGTTACTTGGTTTGAGGTGGATCGAATCCTGAGTATGTATTTTTATTTCTCTTTTACATAGATTTTTTTCTTTCTTTTCTTTTTTTTTTTTTGTTTCTTGTAGAGGAGGACATTTGGATTAAGGGCTTGCCCCTCGTTGGTAACAGCCAATATCCAACTGTTGTGGCAGCTACTATGCTCTAAGCATAGGCTAGCAATGAGGAGAATGTGGTAAACTGCTCAGCCGATTCTATGGAGATCTAGGAAAAAGTTACTGAGGGATGGCGGATGTCCCCGAGAACCTTGACCTATCACCTAAATGAGATGGAACTTGCTTGTGCTTAATAAGAAGAGGATCTCCACACAGTGTTAGGGGATATGCATGGGGAGAAAACCCATCTTCACCAACAAGTTTCTAAAATCTGAGAAGATGCATTCATGTAGAGGGCACATTTTGCGGTCTATCGAGCGAATCATTACAAGCTCGGTGGGTTAAATATTGTATAAGAGATTAGTTAGGAAAAATCACGGCCTACGACTAATTTGTAAAGTATCTATTGTTGGATTAAGAATTGGGTGTATTTACATAATTATAGAAATAAAAATATTTTATTTTGTTTTTATTTCAAATTTTTATGTTGATTTGATGTTTTCTCTAAAAATCCTTATGCAACATTTCACCCTATGTTGGGTCCCTATAATTAAGGTTAAGGTGTTTATTTACTCGTTTGCAGTACATTTTTTGAGCTTCTATCACTCAATTTTTCCTTTTTCCATCAACTTTTACTATAGTTCAATCTCTCTTCCCATCAACTTTTACTATAGTTCAATCTCTCTTCCCATCTTTTAATGGATCTAAATTTAACCCCTCAAACATTTAGTCTAGTAGCTACGACTAAGTGATTGGTTTTCTCTCCATCAGAGGTAGCTTCTATTGAGAAGGCCTTTGTGTTTGATCTAACTATTAGGTTTAGGGTCGCTCGCCTAAATGAGATGGCAACCAATAAGTTTGGAGATGATCTGGTGGTCCATAGAGACAAACCAAGATACAGATTGTGGTTGCTCTTATGTCAGGACCTTAGGGCAATTTTCAATCGGCTTGGGAACTTTTTGGAGCAAATAAAGCCAAACTGCATAATTAGGATAAGGACTCATGTACTTTTCTACCATCGAAGAGGTATCATGTGATTGAGTAAAATTTTCAACTAAATATTCTCTTTTAGGGTAGGGGTAGATGGATATGTATAGTTCAGGACAATTAATTGGTTTAAATTCTTGGTCTTAGAGAATAAGGTGATGGACTAGAAGTACAAGCTCTTCATCGCTTCATCTTACAAGAGTTAGGGCATATTATAGTGCTAACCAAGGATGCCTTTAAGTGGAAGAGGGAGACATATTACTTCTGGGTCGAGGGTGATAAGATTAATGAGCATCTCCTTTTTACTTCTCTAATACACCAATTTGGTGACTGTAAATAGGATCTTGTTTCCTGGAATTTTTGTATTGGACACACAAATGGAGGTGGGCATTTTGTTGCCTCATGCACAAAATGTTGGTATACCTCTCCATGTTTTAAGCCTAAGACCTAAGCAAGATCACTAGGAAAGATTCAATTTATCATCAAAAGTGTTAGGTCCATTTTGTCCATGTTTTCATTTGCATTTTCAAGTGCATTTGTCATATTATTCATATCATGGAATGTATACTTTTAAAATCATATAAAAAATATGTGTCATTATTGTGCATGCAGATTTTATATTTAAAATATGCAATGGAATACAT